AACTAAGTGATGTATTACAGAAAGGTTAAACGAGACTGAACCACTGAGGCATGAACTTTCTGTCATATAGTCAACAATCCTACTAAACCACTATCACTACGTTATTCCAGTGTACATCTAAATTGATAAATGCAGTTGAAGCTAACGAAAGAGAAGCCCATAAGGAACCCAAAGTACTCAAACACTCATTACAAGTCACAGGGTTTAGAGGGCTTACCTCCAGGCTTTTTTAAGCTGAAAGTAAGACTACAGTCAGGGAACTGACCAAATAATTTGATGAAGTATTACACTGACAGCTTTATGCTACTTGGAAGTTAGATCATTGTTTTACTGTTCCTCAGTAAAAGTATGTAACGTATATGATAACTATTTGGGTATCAGTATGCTAGAAGTTCCATACTTCATAGTTTCCTCAAAATAAATGAAAAACTAATCAGTAAGGTATAGGATGGGCTTAATTCAGGTTGCAGATGTACTGATTGTGTTCAACCTGCACCAGATGCTCGAATACTTCCAAGCATATTGTATGCGAACCTCCAATGTATTACTGGATACTGTGGTTGCCTTCGTTTCAATGAGCAGGGCTGTACTGTGAAATTGCTCGTTAGAGAGGAGTTTTCATGAAAAGTTTGTTAGCATCTTGAAGTCTCAGAACAAAAACACCTCAGGTTGAGTGAGTGTATACAATCAACTTTCTCCATTGTTTCAAACCAGCAATAAGGTAGGCAAAGCTGCTAGGTTTCACCATTCACCTTTAATTTACTCATTGATGGCATTCTCGAAACATCTCGAAGAAGGTATATGGTGTTGGTATACATGTGATTTCCTATGGAACACTTTTCAGCCTCAACTTTGTGGATGATATCCTTTCAGTGTGAGACAAAATACAGCCTAATCAAATCGTATTCAGTCAATTAGTGACTACTATATTAAAATCTGGTATACTTTTTTTCATTGGCTACGTAAAAATGCTTTAACAAGATTGACAAGAGCCTATACATGTAATCACTTTCAATGATGAATGTGACATATTGTTGTATACGGCGGATTTATTGCTGGCCATACAGTACTAAATTTGTGCTTTGAATAAATTAAAGTAGTTCACATTAGGTGGAACGTGGTTTCATCTGGGTTCTGCAAATGAATACACCGTTTCATATAAAAGGTATACGTTTCACATCAGGATATATCTTAGAAAATACACTTCTGAGTCTGTTAGTTGATTGGAGGCAGTCAGCGGAAATCTCTCCTTGAAGTACTTTTCGTGTTTATCGGTACTCCTTAGAAAGGCATATCAACAACTCTCAAGGAAACGATGTCCACTGTAACATTCGAATTCGCGTCACCTAGTATCGCAGTCAGTGACTTTACCACTTAGGTATTTGGGCTGTAATTGGCTGGCTTCAGGAGTAGATTAGGTACATTGATCGGTCCCTGAAGGGCAACTAATTTCATGTTTTCTAGTTCTGGGAGCTGAAAGAATTCTGTTGATCAAACTCGAAGACTCACCATCTCAGCACACTAAGATAGGTGAAAGTTGATTGCAGGCAGTCGGCAGGAAGCATCTTTCCGCAACTTTATCGTCTTTCATTTTCAGACTGAGAGAAAATAGTTTATTTTCCTTAGTACTGTTATCGCGTGATTAGGATTCAATGCATTTAGAGCAATAGCCAAACTTCCTTTCAAATTATTCATCTTAATGGAGTTCATCATTATTATGTTTCGCTGAATTTTTGTGTTCTGTTATCCTCACTGGTCTCAATCGTCTACTTTGACCTACATACTTGATTTCACAAGTATTATATAGTATTTGATAAATTAAGTTATATACTTGAATGAGTCTACTAGATCTTTTAGCCTACAAAGTTTCTCTCTGAGTGAGTTTATGAGTTTAAGTGTCACTTTTTATATGTCTTCTTTACACAGCAATGCTGCAGAGGATTTGAATTCCCTCTTAAGTAGGTCACTTTAAAACTTTGTAAATGAACCATAGTATAGCCAGAAACAGCCGACACAAAAATGGAATGTTACAGTAAATAAAATCGAAAACCATCCACACACATATTCCACTTTGTGAATTTGGGTTTTATTTCGTCAGGTTCTCATCAGCTGTTTACTATCTACAACAACATCGGAAATGCATTTCACCTAATGGTGGTTAGCAGTTGATCCTTTCCGTTCTGTTTAAGACTCATCAACTGGAACTGCTTTCACCCCAATCAATGATTTTGTTCCCATTGGGATGTCAGAACATTCAGCTGACGAGTCCCACATAGCATAGAAACGTTCGTTCTGGATTCCACTACATGATAAATCTTGAGGCAAATTGAGAGCCCATATACAAACACAGATCGATTACTTCGACCCAGCACAACAACGGAAAACTGAAAGTATCAATAAATAAACATCAAAGGTAGTTAACTATAGCATTGAGGGCTGTTTGATAACAGCGGTTCAATTGAATTCACATTCGAACATTCTGTAAACAAGAAAACTATGGACCTGACTATGAGTGACAATGAAGAAACTTTTGTACACTGTAGAATGAACTATTCGGTTCTTTTTAGCAGATTTCTAAAATAAAACGTTCACAAACGATTAGTAAGCTATGGTTCTTTACATTCGACATTCAAATTAAAACCGGTTATTTACAGATTCAAATCTTAGCCCATTGAATATGGATGATATGAAGTACTTCCATGCAGTAAGTTTGCCTCACTGTTGAGTCTATGGTTTTCGGTTCAACTTTTGAGTTATATCCTGTTGAGGTACACAATGATAATTTTGTAGACTTTAGTTATAGTTACAGCAAAATTACTACCATGATGTTATAAACATTTAAAATTTAAAAACCAAAAATAAATTGTCATCAAAAATAGTGTCATATAACTCAGTTAAGTTAGTACATTGGATATAAAGAATTACATAATATTACACAGTTGTGTGTGTTCGGTAAACAATACTTCTTCAACAAGGTTTCGCCTTTTTCAATACTCATCAGCAAGGTGTATCTGCAATACTAAGGGAAGTTATATGCCATCAGAGATTGAAAATATCATTTTATCCACTTTCAATAAGCTTTACCATCTTTAAGTTACAATTCATAGGATATAAGATAAAAATGAGCAGCATAGCACGAATTACATTCCACCTTATCTCAGTACACAGATATAAATGAGGCCAAACTTTTCTGTTGGTATTGGTAGACAATGAGGAAGTAACCAAGAAAGCTTAGAAACAGTTTAATGATAAAATCTATCTGTCAAGTTACTGATACAATTCTATTTGAAGATTTGTGGGCACTGACTGATTTTGGAGGAATGTTCATCGCGGACTGACATACGTTAGAGAAACATTGAGGACTCTGGAACATTATACAGCTATTTCCTATCAATGTGGGGTTCCTTGGCAGTGCGTATCCACAACCCCACCAGGGGTAGAACCCAGAGAGAAGCGGGAGAATGTGCACCACTGGATTATGACTCAGCCATGGAATGGTAACATGCTTGCCACAAGAATTAATGGTCTTTGGCTGGAAACGGAGCACAGTTGTGGCTGCACAGTTTTGTGGAGTCACGCACTAGGATGAAACGGCTATCCAGCGCTTCTCGGTTTTCACTGGTTTTCCAAATATTATCAGTCCATAAACAATACAAATTCGAAAACAACTGAGTTTGGTTGAGAAAAGTAGGAGGGTATCTACCAACCTTAGAAATCTGTGCACGATAAAGCGAACTTCTACATGAATCGGTAAGGAGATGGTAATCTATGCAGCTATCTCAAGTCTTAAACAAACAGTAACCGCTGAAGCCTGTCTGTCATGTGTGGACTGAGGCTACTCAGCTACGTTGCGAAAATCTCTATCTAGATTTTGTATATGGAAACTAAGTTCACGAATTCATGTCGATTAGGTTCTAATACATAACATGAGACCAATATTCTATTGGCCAATGTTGAAACTATGACCAAACTCTTCTTTAAGTACAATGTATCATTCGCTTGACCAAATATACTTTTAACTGAAGTGAATAATTCAAGACCAGTCACATTGATCATCACTGGTCACTAGCCAGATTATAGTGATGTAAACACCAGATGGCCGTTTTGATCATTCTGGATCGAACTTATCAGTCGTGTGGATTGGTTGGTTCAGCTCATTAAGTCGAATTATCCAAAGAAAACCCAAATTCCGGGAAGTTACGAATTGTGTACTTTGCAAACACCTTGTTAGCTTTTATCTGCTTGACGGTTGCTTACAGGAGAGTTCAAGATGAGCGTTTCATCTGATTTGCAATCCATCGGTTGACTGTGCTTGAAATCTTGTTGGTGTCTTTATTGAGACTCATTTAGGTGTAATGAAATAAACAAAGTGAATTGGCGACTACCTACAAATAATATAAGATTCCTAATATCTTAGTCAACAAATACTTGAATACTCTAGTGCTAGTCTTTCACAACAAGCCAGCTGAATATCGAACTTCAAAACCTTATCAAATAAGCCTTTGTTATCTGGAAGTGTGAATAATTTTGATTGATGAATGGTAATCAGGACGAAACAGTCTTCATTTCATACTATACTACCATTCATTGTCGAACACCAGCTAGAATTCATTCAACTCACTAGTCTGTTCATATATTTTTTTAAAAAGTAGCAATTTACAAAGGAAGTAATAAATTATATCTGAAAAGAAGAAACTAAACAATCATATTTGTGTATATATTATGATGAGGTCATAAAAGGAGTGAAACTCATGACTAAGACAAACACACACAAAATGAACTTGACCGACCAATAAAAATAAATCAATAATATCACTAATGATAGAGGAAATGTTGCAGGGAAATTATTAAAAAACGAAGGTAAGACAAACCTTTACACTGATGGTTCGACATTGCATAGCTCTCAATAGATAGTCAGTTATATACACACATAGGTGATGTTTCTTGTGAAGAAATATGAATTCGAAACAGTTCAGTATGTGTATTAAGGAGAGGATGATTCAACTTTTCAATGTATTCTTTTGTTCATCAATTTGTGGTACAACACAAACAGCTGTATTCGCATGATGGACAACATAATCACTAACACTGCCCATAATTGTACGTTTGATAGCGCCAAGTCCTCGACTTCCTACAATTATTAAATTTGCATTATATTTTTCACTATTTTGGACAATAGCTGCACCTATATGTTCAACAGGTTCATAAAGGAATTGATAGGTTAAATTTCGACTTAAACACTCTGTACTATAGTCATCTTCAAGTTCAAGGACACGTTTTAAATTATTTTGTACAATATTTGACCATTCATCACTAGGTACACTAATTGGATTCGATAAAGAGATACTTGGTAGGGAGACAGGTTCAACTGCATGAAATATTGTGACTGCATCATCTGGTCTTTGAAGCCATTTTAGATAATGTTGAAATGCTTTCTTTGAATGTTCAGAACCGTCTATAGCGATTAGGACAGAACGTGCATTGACTAATGGTACTTTTGAGAATCCTGATGGTCTTCTGTCCATACTTGTAAATATGATTGGAAATAAGTAAAGTTCTACTGTATTATGTAGGTATATAATTCACTTCTGTCGAATCATGGTTGAGCCCAGTTATTTGACTACCAATTAAATGTGACTTGACCTTAAGCTAACTTGTTGTGTGATTGGATTTGAAATGATTAACGTTTTTATTGGTTGCTTTTTCTGTCTTATGATTGGTCGATATATCACTGGATTCTTTTTCGATTTATTTCTATTTAAAAAATGTATAATTTAAGAAAATACAACGCCTATGACATTAAAACAACTTAGAGGCTTTTTTCTGCTCCACTAGCGTGTATTCTTCTAGGTATAAATTTCTACAATCAATAAGTTTAGTGTGACTGTTCACTTAATTTTATCATATAAATAAAGTTGTTTGTTGTGACTCGTTTGGGCGTGTGCACACACATTAGTTATCCTCTTGTTTGTGTTTAATAAAAAAATCATAACGGAGATTCTGGTTTCTAGGGAATGGTTTGTTGTACATCTGCGTTTGTGTGTGTGTATGTATATGTATGTGTGTAAGTTATTACATGCCACACGACATCAGAGACATAAGCAATCTGACAGGTGATTTCATCCAGAGAATATAAATTTATCAACCACGTATTATTATTATTATTATTTTTCCCTTGGATTCCTAGTCGAACATACCACTTCAGTAACACAACGTCATTGCACTCTCTTCTCTGCAGTCTTTTGAACCTCACTCCACCACTGCCCACAACCTTTGGTTTCTTCCCCAAACCATCTCCTCCATATCACCCTCATCTCGAACATCCAAATCACCGTCTCCGCTTTGCATTCCACTCGCAAGGCTTGGCTCATGATGTCCCCAAATGGTCTTCTCGGTACATGCCCAATCCATCTCCACTTCCTTCCACGGCATATTTGTTCAGTGATAGGTTGTTGGTTGGTTCGTTGACAGCCAGATTTCCTTGTGCTTATTCCTTCTGGCCATCTGATCTTCAGTGTCAGTATCGAGTGAGCGTAGGTGGCAGTTGTTGATGAATATCTGTAGTTTGTTGGAAATCCCTTTCATAACGCACTGCCAAGTCTCTCATCCATCACATAGAAGCACTGACTGACTTGACTGACACTGGTGTTGAAAATGCGGATGTTGTTCACGCTTTATGCTGAGTGCAGTGCAGTTGATTACCACACTGGTTTCAGGTTAATGAATGCCTGTCTTGCATTTCCGATCCTGACTGGTTTTGACGTCCTCGTCTGTGCCTGTGCCACCTGTAGTTGAAACAGTGCTGCCTAAGAAGGTGGGTGAAAGAGACTATTTCCTTTAGGTTTCTCCCTTTGATGGTGATTGGTGCCTGTTATTTTTGTTATTGTTGTTAGTTGGGCATCTTCGTCACCTCCGTCTCCTCTACATTCACCTGAAGTCCCATCTTCGTTGCCTCGCCTCTTCTGTCAACTTGTTGATTTTCGCCTATAGATCTTCGAGTTTGTGCGACATTAGACATAAGTCATCGGCGAAATCCAAATCTTCTAGGATACTTTCCCCAGTTCAGCCTATCCCCCTCTTCTTGTTCCTCATAGTTTGTTGCACGGTCTAGTCCACCACAATCAGGAAGATCATAGGTGACAGCAGGCAGCCTTGTCTTACTCCTGTCTTCATTTCAAAGGCGTCACTGAGCTTCCCATTGTGGGTCACTTGATATGTAGCGTCATCATATAGCTGTTGAGTGAGGTTGATAAAGGTTTATGGCACTCCGTAGTGTTGCAGCAGTTGCCAAATCGCTTCTCGGTGGACGCTGTCGAACACCGGCCCTTTCAAAGTCGCTGAAGTTGAGGCGGACAGTTGACTGCTATTCTATACTCTGTTCTTTGATGATGATGATGATGCGTAGCGTTGTAATTCAGTCCGCAAATGGATTGTTCTTCCTGAATCCATTCAGTCTGTTCTGGTCGTAATTTTGAATCCAGCGCATCCTTTAGTCCCTCCACGATTATGCGGTTTAATATTTGGCTTGGGGTGGAATGGGACAGAAGCATGATTCCTCTCCAGTTCTTGCAAAAGCTTAGGTCTCCCTTCTGTGGGAGTTTGACAATGTAGCCCTTCTTCCAATCAATAAGCAGGTACCTCTCCTTGATTTCAAGCCTTCTGCAACAGTGATGTGAGCACGTCCGCTGATTTCTATGCATCTGTTTTCACTGCCACTGCAGGAATTCCATCTGGTCCTGCTGCTTTCCCACATTTCAGCAGCTTTATGGGGTTCAGGACTCAAGCTTCCATCGGAGGGCTTGTGTTCACTGTTAGTTCTGTGGCTGGACCGCTGGTGGTATTTCTGGACGAGTTGCATTTGCTGGTGGTGGTCAGACCATCGTTTCCTTTGTTTCTCCTCTTTAGTGGTACCTAATTTTCCCTTACTACCTTTCATTGGTTTCATCTGTGTTGATCTCTTCCCTCCCAGTAGGCGGCAACCTTGTCTCACTCTTTCCCGAACTCATTTCAAAGGTATCACTGGGCATTACACTGTAATGTAATGTGAATCACTTGACATGTAACATCATATAGCATACCATTTAGCTGTTGAATGAGGTTGATAAAGGTGTGTGTCAGTGAAACCGTAGAGTTGAAACAGCTGCAGACTAATTGCCAGTCGATGCTGTTGAACGTTGGCCTTTTCAAAATCGATGAAGTTGAGGTAAACATCCAGTTGACTGGCATTCTATGCTCTGTTCTATGATGATGATGATGATGCGTAGCGTTGCGATTTGATCCTGTCGTGATTTGTTCTTCCTGAAGCCAGCCAGCTAACCAGACGGCTTCGGTCGTAATTTTAAAGGCAGATCATTTCTGAGTCTTTCCAGGATGATGGGAGTTAATATTTTGTTTGGAGTGGAATGGGACAGGAGCATGATTCCTCGCCAGTTCTTGCAAAAGCTTAGGTCTCCCTTCTGTGGAAGTTTGACAATGTAGCACTTCTTCCAATCAATAAGCAGGTACCTCTCCTTGATTTCAAGCCTTCTGCAACAGTGATGTGAGCACGTCCGCTGATTTCTATGCATCTGTTTTCACTGCCACTGCAGGAATTCCATCTGGTCCTGCTGCTTTCCCACACCGCAGCAGCTTTATGGGGTTCAGGACTCAAGCTTCTGTCGGAGGGCTTGTGTTCACTGTTACTTCTGTGGCTGGACTGCTGGTGGTATTTCTGGACGAGTTTCAGTTGCTGCTGGTGGTCGATTCAAGAGCTTTTTGAAGTGGTCAGCCCATCATTTCCTTTCTTTCTCCCCTTTAGTGGTACCTAATTTTCCCTTACTACCTTTCATTGGTTTCGTCTGTGTTGATCTCTTCCCCCCCATGATAATAACCTTGTTATTTGATATAATGTTGTCAGGTTTCTGTCTCTTCTACCGGCAGCCGGTTCTGCTTCACTTACCAATGTGTCGTAGAAGTATCTATCGTCTTTACACGCATTCTTCTTCACTTGTTTGTCCAGTGTAGTTTTTTATAGGCTGTATTCACTTCCTCTTTTGCTGCTCATCCCTGCCTGCACTGGTTCATCTTCTCCTTCACCATCACCATCACCATCTTCCTCTCCCTGCTCTATCAGCTTCCATGTGTACGTCGAGATCCACTCTTTGTCTTGCATCTTCTTCCTACCTAATACGCTTATGCAGGTTTCCTTGCATATCTCTTCCAAAGAGTTCCAGTGTTCTTCCACGCCCGATCCTTCGAGGATGTTGCTTAATGTCTCCCATTTTGTTCTGATGGCTGACTGACGTGAAGATTACCTTTGTAGTTTTGTCCCTTCAGTTCAGTTTCTGTTCTGGGTGTTCCACTTCAACTGTGGTTGTCTATCACTAACTTCCTTGAAGGCTTTCAACTTGATTAGGAAGGCAGGTTCCTTGCACTAGATAGTGAGTGGTGTGAACCTACATATGCTGCCTTTCCTCATCTCATCTTGTGTCCAGTAGGCTGCGTCTCCACTTTCTTCAGATTGAAATGAAGTCAATCTGATTTTTAGTGTGTCCATGTGGTGTCTGGTGAAGTTCTTGTTGCTTTGTGAACATCCTTGTGTTTGTACACACTGCTTCACTCCAATCACCAAATCATTGAATGTGCAGAAATTGTAACCAGTCCTCCATTCTCATTCATTTCACTGAGTGCTTCTCAACCCATGATCAGTTATCTTCCTGTATTGTCCGCTCCGAGTTTGGAGTTCATGTTATGCAACTGAAGTGGAGTCTTGTCCATTACTGATTGCATTTGTCCACAGAATTCCTCCTTATTCTCTTCATCTGCACTATTTGTAGGTGCGTTGTGTAGCATTGTATGATTATGACTTCCTCCTTTTCAGTTGAATCTTGCTGTCATGATCGTGATCCTGGAGGAGATTGGTTCCCACTGGATGACAGCCTTCGATGCTGCTCTTCGAGACATCATGATAGCCACTCGTCAACTGAGTGTGCTTGTGGTTGTCGTCTGTGTGACAATATGGGAGTAGATTATTGACTCTCCTCTCCAGTTGACAGTTTGGGGAGTCCACTTCCATTCCATCTGCTTATCTGTCGCAGATTCCTATCACTTCTATGCTATACCTTTTTATCTCTCTTGCAATCTGGACAGCCTTGCTATGTCCATACATTATGCGGACATTCCATGTCCCCACGTTTACGTTCGCTTTCATCGAGAGAGTAGAAAACACATTGGCCAATTGGCTTAGCGAAGGCTTTCACCAACCGGCGTCATTTCGTCTCCCCAATTCCAGCGAGGAATATGTTTGCTTTTATTTTTCATATTTTCTTTGTGCTTTGAAGTTTCTTTAGAGATTGGATTGGTTTCACGGGGTAGGGTTGCTATCTCTTCGCCCAACCTTCCCTCTTAATTCGGGCTTAGGACAGGCTAGTAACTAGTGGACTATTTAACCAGACGAGGTTAAAAACCACCTACACTGTGTATATACAATCGTGGATGGCTCATAGAAGAAACCCTACAACTCAGTTTCCTACTTGTTGGCTATTGT